CTGTTCCCATCCCCCCAATTCCCCAATAAAAATCTTTAAAAAACAAACAAACAAACAAACAAAAATTAGTTTCCTGGACTCTAAGGAGTGTACAATTTCCTGGACTCTTAAGGAGACTATGCAGAAGAAATTTTCTTGTCTCTTTGGGTCATGATTATGAGCAGGCAAGTAATTATAACACTGTTTTGCAATAGAGTTACCCCAATGATTGCTGAAGTGTGCATGGCTAGTGACCACCTCAGTGGTGTATTAAAAATGTTATTGACATGTTTTCAAAGGAAAGACAACTATTAAGAACGCTTAGTTTGGGTTTTCCCAGAAACAAACACTAAGGCAAGGATTTGACTGTAAGAAATTTATTTGGGAGGAATAAGGGGATAGGAGATTAAGACAGGCAAGAAAGGAAGCTAATAAAAAGTGTGTTATAGAGAAAATGATTACAAAAAAATTATTACATTGATAAATGGAGCTTAATCATTTGGGAAACAGTGTAGATGATGTGTCTCAGAATTATCTCACTGAAGGAGAGGAAAATGGGATAGTTTCCATCAAATTTGGTCCAGGGCTTCTTCTGGGTGCTGTTAACTACCCCAGAACATGGGTAAATGTGCTTTAATGACCAGAGAAAACCCCTACAAAGGGATGCAAGACATAGCGTTCCTTGTCCTTATTACATAGTAGTAACCCTGCATCCCCATATTAACCAGGGCTTCCTTCTTTGCTTATTCGTCATCTAGAATAAGAAGCTGAAAACAACAAGGAGAAGACGTTATTCAAGGTTAGTGGAGCCCTTACTCTGTTCCCTTATAGAATGATCCCTCTCCTTCCCAGGAATGAGGACCTTGGGCCCAGAAGAGGCAAAGGTGGTGGAGCTGGGAGGCACAAAGTCCCCAAGTCATTATCTGACCTGTGTATTTTAAATGCGGACACTGTGGCAGGCTAACCTGTTAAATTAAAATTATAATGGGGTATGACAGGGACCACAGCCCCTGTATTCTACCACTCTGCTCAAGATGTGATATTCCTCTTGAATTATTATCAGGGATGGTGGGGACATTTTCAGAAGACTTTCATTTCACCTTTCTTAACATATAATTTACTCTGCAGGTCAAAGAACCAGATGTTTACATGTATCAGAACATATCCAGTTATACACTTTTAACATGTGCAGTTCATTGTATTCCAAGAATACCTCAATTAAGCTGATAAAGAAATAAAGAATTGGACTATGGCTACAAGAACTGAAATGAGACTGCTCTAATAATCAAAGTTCTTAAAAAGTTATAGAATCAGATTGAGAGAAAATTAAATTACTCAGAGAAATGTGGTAGGTTAACAAACACAGCTTGGGGGAGGGGAATTGTTATTCTATATAGTCTAGTGAGTTGAGACTTTACAATATATTAGTTATAAAACCTGCCGTTCACCTGCAGTCACCAAATGCTTCAGCTAACCCAAGAACCTCCTCATCCTATGATATCTTGACAACCCATTGTTAGTTCTGCTAGTGCATTTTCAAAGTCTCTTGGCCAATGCACAATGTGCTTGGGCTTCTGAATTTATCTTATTTCTCTTCTCTCTGAGTTCTGAGATAATCAAGGTATAGGCACAGAAATTGGAGTCAAATATTAGCTTTGATTTATGCTAAATGAATTGGTGAATATAGCTTGGAACTAAGGTCCTAACGTTCCCTTATGATTTGAACTTATCCTACCAACACTTGGACAGCTGCGTTTCCTCCCTGCCTCTCCCTTCACCCCTCCCCACCCCAAGGCAAGGATAACTGTAGTAGATTCACATGAAGCAGGTGCAGAGGGAGAGGAAGATTCTGTTTAGGTACTAACTATGTCACTAGAATAAGCTACTTGAGAAAATGTTTGCAATTTAGGAGTTCATTATCATTACAAGCATCAAGGTGATCAACATTAGGAAGCATATTTTTGAATTACGAACTGTCCTCTGTAAATAAGTCAGTGGATAGCATCCAGGTACTATTCTTTTTTAAATTTGCTGCACCCATCCTAATATTAACACTAATCTCAGTGCACTTTTTTCAGTTCATATCTAATTCACAAAATAGTCTTTAGCTAACTGCAATATATCTACCCCTATAGCAAAGTTGTCAGGCATATTTCCCTCACATATATGTCAAGAACTCCACATCAGTTATTTGTTTAAGTGCAAAGCGAAATATGATCGATATGAAGACATGCACAGAGTTGCTCCATCATTTTGAAATGCATTGAGGCAAAAGTGTTGCATCATTT